TCTGACCACAGGTCAGTCAGGCAAGATCTTGTCAATGCTGGATGAGAAATTGTGGGACCACGAGTCTCTACAGCAGTTGCGGCAGCAAATAGCTGCCGGGTGTACCACAGGACGGGGAAGAAGTCCGCAGCCAGCGGGGTGGTTGGCAGACCTTGGCAATGAACCCCGCCTTGCACGTGGAAGAGATGTTCACAGCTGCGGATGCCCTGATGTCTTTGATCCCGCTGGTGCGTCGTGCAGGTCTGGAAGAACTGCACGACTGGCTGGAAACTGCGCTGCTGGTGATGTCGGCTGCGCGCCGGCGGCTGCAGACTTTGCATGTTCTGAGATGTACAAAAACGGCTTGTTCGCCGTTGTCCGCGGTTGTCCGCCGTTGTCCGCCGTTGTCCGCGGCCGAAGCGGACACTCTGCGCGATGTCCGCCGTTGTCCGCGGAAGCCTAGGATTTGTAGCCTGCAGGCGGAGGGGGAAACCTTGTCCGCGGTTGTCCGCGGACGACGAAACGTTGCGTATCTGTGAGAAAACACTTGTCCGCGATGTCCGCGATGTCCGCCGCTCTAAAATATATGATTTTCTGTTTGTCCGCGGCCTCTCACGAACTTTTGTTGATTTGTGGTAGTTTTGCTTCCGGTTGTCCTGTCTCTGGATACGTTTTTTGGTGGTATCTCTGACATGAGATCACTGCAGTTTTGCATTAATTGGCTCAACCGCGACCCCGCTATAGTTCCCCCTCCGAGATGGCTAGCGCAGATGCACCTGCGAGCGGTGCAGACTGCTTGCGCCGCCTGTGTGGCCACAAGTTCAGACTGGACCAAGGCCGCTCGCGATCTGCGCAGACGTTTGAGTGTCACCCGATGGGCTCACTGCTGAGGGGCGAAACTTCATTCCGGGTCAGATCTACATCTTGGACACCAAAACGGCCGTGGAAATCACGGGAGCAAGAGTGGAGCACTGCCAACACAAGCTGGAAGCAAATGTTCTGGCCCTACGCTGGCGTTCAGACGGCGGGCTTCACGCGCTGGTTGCGCCAAACTCCTGCTATGCATCAAACTGTGGCGGTTTCTAGGCTTCTGCAGAGGCGTGAAGCGCTCTTCGTGCGTAAAGATGGACCAGACGTGTGGCTCCTGCAGTGAAAAAGACCGCTTGCGCGCGCGTTTTTCGCTTTTTCGTAAATCTTCACGAAAAACACATACTTCTACTTAACCTACTTACAAGTCTACTTATAAGTATGGTTCTAAGTACGAAAATACGTATCTAGCTAAGTAGCATCATAAGTAACTTATAAGTCCACAAGTGCCCGGCGCCACCGAAGTTCCATCAGCTTCCCATTGAAGATCTTCTCCGTGACCGTCATGGAGGTGAACTCCTCCTTCAGTTCCTCCTGAGCCAGTTCGACATGCTCTGGAGGGGGACCAATGGCCCGGGTCTCGCCATGACCACTGCCCTTTGTGACATAGCGCAGGCGCAGACCGCACCGACTGCACGCTTGCCACATGGCGGTCTTGTTGGACCGCTCCTTGCCCGGCAGGTGTTCTCCATGACATGGCCAGCCCACATGGCGTGGATCGAGGTCTGTCGCCGGGGGGCATGATTTCATCTCTGGTAGATGAAGGGGCTTCACGGAGTCGTTGAAGTCGCTGAGCCAAGATGCTGAGGCGGTCGGACAACAGTGCTCCATGGTGTTCTTCAGACTCCATCATGAAAATGCTCGAATCACCGCAAACAACAGCTGACTGGCAATCTTCATGTGATTGAACCGCATGAAATGGAAGTGACTCTGAAGTGTGTGCCATGGTTGCAACTGCATGAAGTCCCTCAACCGACATCTCGACCGACTCGGCATGCGAAACTGACTCAAGCTCCAAATCACTGATGATGGTTTCCTTGTTGTTCAACACATCGAAGCGACTCTCAGCAGGCACCGCAGAGTATTCCCTCTGGTCTTCGGGATTCGGTGTGTCTGCCTCATTGGCCTTCTCGACTTCCGCAGTTGGGGAAGGAGGTGCAATCGGAGAATGGGACACATTGGAATTGATGTCCATTGGCATCCCCGGCTCATCAGGCGGAAACATCTGATGAGGCTCACCAGAAGTTGCAGCTCTATTGGCGTGCTCAGTCGTCGCCTGCAGCAAGTTGCGAGTGACAAAGGGTCCTCGGCGTCTCTTGGTGCCTCGGCTGTTTCCCTTGCCACCTCCATCATCTGGGCCGCCATCGTCGTCATCGATGTCATCATCCTCACCCCTGGGCCACCGAGTGCTCGGATAGCCGTTGAACCTCTGCAGCAGGAACTCGATGGGGACAGGCTGTTCCATGAGGTCAAGCCACAAGTGTCCTCCCGTCTGGGAGCTTGTCAAAGATGTTGACATCCACTGTCCTGTCACGTTCCTGTAGGCCAGATAGTCGCCGTGATAGGAGATGACCGCCTTCCGGCTCCTTAGATCTCGGGCCCCGAGCAGCAAAGGTGTTCTCTCAGCGCTGCCATCAAGCAGGTAGAAGGTCACCTTCCCGATGGCCGGCGTGTACAAGTAGATCTTGGAAACTGCTCGCTGGTTCTCACCATTCCCGAAGCGGAACCGTGGCCTGTCCTCCAGCTGGATGTGGTAGAGCATCGGGCATGAATCCAAAACACGAGCCATGGATTCCACACCTGCCACAGACTCCGTCGCACCCGTATCCAGCACCGCCTTGGCGACTCCCTGGGCATACAGCTCTTCGTTCTCAAAGAGGCTCAACACGTTGATGTCAGGGATGTAGTCCATGCCATAGCCGAAGTCCATCGCGTAGACCTTGCCGCCCTTCTTTCCTTTCTTTCCCTTGCCCTTGGGTCGTCCAGATCCCTTTCCGCTGCCAAAGGAAGATCCCTTTGAGCTCGGCGAGGACATAGGCGAAGATTTGCCTCCTCGTGACCATCGATCTGGACACTTCTGATATCCATGGCCATTCTGACCGCAAATGAAGCATGGGCCAAAAGAAGATGGGCCCTTGCCCTTTCCACCAAAGGGCTTTCCCTTGCCTTTGCCCGGACCAGTGCCCTTGTGACCCGCAGTGTCGTAGTAGCCACGAGCGGCCCGGACGCGAGCCACTGCCTGCTTGGCTTCAGCGAGGATTTTGTTCGCTTCAGTGGCCAGTGCAAAGGCCTCTTCAAGCCGCTGCTCCTCCTCCAAGGGCTGCTCAGCTGCCTGTCCAGCCAAGTCATTCTCAGGCGTCTCGCCATAGAGGTCGTCAGCCTTGTAGTCCATGCCCTCATAGTCTTCCCAAGAGTCAGCACCTGGCCAGTCTGACCAGTAGGCCTCAGCAGCAGGCCAAGGCTCCTCATCCCACCATTCATCATCCCAGTCGTTCTCCTCGTAGGGCTCCTCGAACCAGATGGTCTTCCGAGGTCTTGGATGATCTTCAACTCCATCTGTCTCCGCAAACAGAGACCTCAGAGCTTGGCGGATGAGGGTGAAGTGCGTGCTGTTCTTGGTGAGGGTCAGCACGTGTTGGCGTTCAGCCGCCGTGAGCTTGGAGGCTTTCAGAAGCCTGTAGCCGCGGAGCTCGTTCTCGAAGAAGCCGGTGTTGTCCATTCCGGAAGTCGTTGGGGCTTCCTCAAAGCTCTGCTCCGTTGGCTCCTCTTCAACCATGCGGCCACCTTTTCCACCTGCCACGTTCGGAGACCGTGTAGGTGAAGCCGAAGGGTCATGCTCACTCACGCCAACCGCCATGGACCTCATCTCGGCCTTTCGCCTCTCATGCCTCGCTCGCTTCAAGGCCTGCTGGAGCTCCAGGAAGAGTTCTTCTTCTCGGACAAGTAGTTGTGGGATGGACTCGGATGAAGTGCGTCTCATCCCTGTCCATCGCTCCAGCCTGGCGAAGCTGTCAGGCACCGGCAGCTTCTGCAGCGGACTCTCCCTGAGGACCGTCAGGAGCTTCTGGAGACCTGACTCCGTGGCAAAGTCCTTGGGGTCAAGGTGCTTGACCACGCTCTTTGCAGCGCCAGCCAACCTCTGCCAGATCCTCGGTGCCGCCAGCTTCTTCTCCGTGTCCTTGAGCGAGCACTCATACCACCTGCAGCTGGTGGCGAAGTTCTCGAAGCTCGCAGGGTCTCCATCCCAGGCCGGGATGTCCTCCTGCGGCATCACCTCCAGGCTCGCCACCTCCTCGGCCTTCAGGACCACCAGGATGTAGCTCCGCCTACCATGCAATGCGCTACCCCTAGCGCGACCGGTGCCCACCTAAGGGCAAAAAGGACACCGACGCCCCTTTTCCGCTCTGTGCTCGAGCCCCGCCCTACAGCGGAGAGTTGAACACGTGAACCATGACCGCCATGCTTGCACTACTAGTAGCTACAAGCTACTAGTAAATAGAGCATCGCTACTAGTAACAAGCAGCTCAATGCCTCCAGAGGTGTGGGCGGCACCCGCTTTTCATCATAGGTCGGCCTTATACACGAATGCGGCTGTCAATTGCAATCTTCCAGTGCCTTGCGTTTTCATGTTGAGCAATCGCAAAATCTGGGACCTTGTGATTGTCGCATTGCTGGTGCTGTCTTCAGTTGCTGCACAAGTGATTGGCATTTAAGGAGACCACAAATACCGTCAGAAAATGAACCTAAAGATTGACAAAAAAGGAGGATGACATTTCTCGACAATGTTGTTACCAAAGACCACTGAAAATGAGAGACAACTGCTATGGCCTTCCTCCTCTCAGTCTGGGTGCTCTGCGCATAGTCTGGGCTAGCTCGGAGTAAAGAAGGCACCTGCAGCAGTAGTTTCCGTTTCTGAGGACCGGGAGGGCAAAACAAGAAGAAAATGTGAGAAGGCACATCAAATAATGTCAACTGGTTTTGACCATTGTATGCGGTTCTTTGATGCACTATACAATATGTGGTCCAGACAAGTCAAAGGCTTCGTTTAAATGCATGGCGAGCGCAAAAAATACAGCAATAGATTGTGAACATTTACGATTTCATCGGACCACTGCTCAAAAGCTGAAGCAACCCTCTTCTCGGCTGCAATACCAAGGAGGCCCAAAATCCAGACCTCAAACAAAAGAAAGGAATTAAAGTTTGAAGGCGTAGAGTGTTTATCCACATGGTGATTTCCATAAGTTTCCAAACCATTCTCCACAGGTGCTTCCAACAGGCACTGTCTTAGCTTGCAGCCTTTAAGCGTACAAGTTAGCGACATCACAGAACACATGCTGTAGATTGTAAGTGTCCCTAAAAATCTAGGAAGCAAATCATTAGTGCGAGCGTGAGCTATCCTGCCTCCATACTAGTAGCGTCCTAGTGGCTAGGAGCTTCTCCCTTACTCAATTATATAAGTATATATAGGCGCCTACTTAATTAAGAGCAGGCTTAAAGGTTAAACAATATAAAGGTCTAAAGGAGAAAGGTGCCTTTTTGTCGTCGCACGCAGCCATACTCCAATTACCTGGGCGTTGCGTTCACCATCGATTCGCCTTCTGCTTGTAGCCTCCGAGGTTCGAAGTCCTCCTTGCTTCGGTTGTCAAAGCGTTGGTGGTAGCTCAAAAAGAAAACCTTAAAGCAGTAAAACTTTTCAAGATAACAACTGAAATATATAATATTTAAACGATTCACAATGGACAACAAAAAACACCACAACGGCAAATCCTCCACGAATCATGCCGCAATGTCAGTAGCTTTGTGCTCGAGCAACTCCCATGCGACTAGACAAGTGATACTTGCTTGATCAAAGTGAATGCTGCACCTGAGTGCAATGCCCGGCAACATGGGAACATGAAAGTCAGTGACCCTTGTGATGTTGCAGCATTTATACAGGCTGCTTAGACCGGGTATTCATTGATAGATGTAACATATGTATTCCATTGATTGCGGACAACTTAGAGAAGCGAGTTTTAAGCATTGCTTTACTTTGGGCGTCTTCAGGCATCAAACAAGTTTGGCTGCCCATTATTGGCTCAGCGGACACTGTGTGCACGAGCAAAATGCGGCTAACTACACCTCTGCGTCCTCTGTGTCTGTATCCCAGGAGCTGTGATGTCTTGGCTGCACGGCGTGAAAGGGCCCAGCCGTATGTCTCATTTGCGGCGCTGCTGGTAAAGTGCCGGAAGGGAAAGCCAAAACGCGCGATTCACTCAATAAATGCCTCCTCAAAAGCAGAAAGGTGTTTCATGTGCCACGTTTGTCGCGCCATTTTGGCAAGTACCACCGACCACACGCCCCAAACAACTACAGTATCACAATATCTCATTGTCATTAAGTGATGGCCGACTATACTTTTTGCCAAGACACAGCATCGAAAAAATCATCTGTTGGGTTCTCTTGTCTGCTTCATAGATTCAGAACCCATTGACGTGGTAATTCCCTCGTACAGTTTGCCATCCCACTTATCCTGCTGTCATTGTTTTAATCGCTTGCAGTGTTTCATGCAAACATGTTATTGCCCTACTGCTTTACTGCGGCGCTAGCAAATTCTGCTAAGCAAATTTATATGTTGCGCATTGCCGGATGACATCTCATGACTAACCAAGAGCAGTCAAGCACCCAGATCTTGGAACTCTTTCGTTATTGCACCCGAGGATTTAAGTAAAGCCCAACGAGTCTACATTAACGGCGTTGATTTGGACAAAGCCGAAACAACACAAGGACAATAACAAGGTAAAGGCCCCTCTAGTAAGGCCTGCACTGTCAACTTATTGAAGAGGCCCTTACCTTTTTTTTGTCCTTTTCCATCCTTTTCCTTTTTGTGTTAGTGGGCGTGGGAGTCGTTCTGAGGTCTACAATCTGCCACAAATAGTTTTCAGATGCATACCGTTCTTGGTGGATATGACCTGACACTGGCAAGGGGAACAAATTCCAAGGTTAGGGCAAAGCTACATGCTGATAACTATAACTGATATCCAAGTATTTCACGGACCAAATCAATACCTCATTACATCCTATTACCATCTATTACCCCATATCCCCGTGTCGTATACACATCTGGACATTGTAACACGTTTCGGGTAGCCCCGCAGAAGCAGTCCTTCGATCTGGGAAACGCAGGTTGCTCACCTCTTTGGAAGCGCAGGATGTCCAAAAAATACAATCTCCTCGTCACTCGCAAGTGATCAATTGGGCTGGGGTGACTATGAACTCGACATGCTGCTGATTGCACGCATGGTTGCACCCTCTTCTGCTGCATCTTTGAAAAATTTTACTTTGTAGGATTTGAAACAAAACTCTGCATTAGTCCAGCAGTTTGTTGGCTGAAAACCAAATGACTGGGATCAGAACATGTTCGAGGGTAAGATATGCCAAGTTCGTCCATGGTACTCCCCGCCCGCCTCTTCGCAGGAGGACAGGAGTCCACAAGTTGTAGTGGAAAGGTGCATCTTGAATCTCGTTGGCATTAACACCATTCAGAAGTTCAGCGTGCACCTTCACTGCTCGGCAAAACCATTATGCTATATAAAAAACAATCGAAAACATGTGTTAAATCAACAATGCGTTCTTTTTTGCACTCCTCGAAAACTAACAAATTTGGGCATCCAATCCAACAAATTTGGTTGAAAACAAAAGGAATGTACACTGTGCCTTCAGGCATTTGAAAACACAAAAATGCAGAAACTGATTTTGCTACTTCGAGTCTCTTCTGGGAACCAAATCCTGAACCAGAAATGACTCGCATTCTTTCGAAACTTAGACTGCTGCGTTCTCAGATTTTGGATATTCCGTGGGTAGGTGCGCCAAAGGCCAAAGTGGATCGCTTTGAGTTTGTAGATGGCAGAAGTGTTGATGGCAAATCGTAGATGGATCCTCAGAAAGTGAAATTGTGCTTGCTGCACCAAGAGCACAAGTCAAGTTGGTATGTGCAATGCTGGAACGAACCAAAAGGAAAGTAGGCAAAAACGCAATGACTTGTGTTAGTGCCCTGTGTTTTCCGCTGCCACTCCCACAGACGGTCCCTAAGACTGCACTCCTTAGTTTGGGCAAAGATCTCAGATCTGATCCACTTGAACAGGAGTGTTATAAACATAACACTGGGTCTCAGTCGTGGCTTCACAAGATTCACGGCGCTGTCGGCGCCCGCGCAAGGGTTGTTCATGTTGTTTGACCCTTTGCTGACAGCTTGTAACCCTCGCAGGGCTTTGAAGGTTTCCATGGATCTGCACACCCGTATTTTCATTGAAATGTACTGTAATCCGGCGTTACTTTGCGTTCCTGCGCGAGCTTGAACCCAAAAACTCGGACAGAGTGGCGTGAGGGTAGCCCAAAACACGAACAGCAGAAACAACAATTCCGCACCTGTGACCAAAAACATCAACATCGTTCGCTATTGCCCCCCCACCCACCCCGAGCATCAGCTCTCGGGCGCTAAGAACCTTCAACAAATCACAGACAAGCTGGTAGCGTCATATTTGATGAACTTATAAAACCTGATCACCCCGCACAGTGCCAACTGTGGGAGTTCATTCATAGTAGACCTCGAAGCCCAACCCTATATATGCCCTCTGTCTTTTTCCGCTCCACTCCCACAGACGGTCCGGAGTCCCTAATACGGCTTATAGTTTCAGACCTGATCCCTTTTCTAATCGAACAGGAGCGCTATAATAAACATAACATTGGGGTTTCCGTCGTAATTTGATCCACGGATGAGAGATGAGACTGCCGTTCGTTATCTGCGAAGCCACGGGGCCAGGCCATACAGGCACCAGGCAGTAAACTCCCGCAGGGGGGTTCACATTGATAACCCAACCCAAAAGGAGTTCGTGTTGAAGAACGGACATCGATGTCGGGAGGTGTGAGAGCATGACATATAACATGGCCAACGTCAACGCTTCACGCACAGGACTCAAAACTGGGTCAGTGGCACGCTGCTTGGCATTGAGCAGGGACCCGGCAAAGCGCTCAAATCACCTCTGAGTTTACCAGCGTCATGTTAGTATCCGTGGCCTGACGAAGTTTGGCTTGTACCTTGCGAGTGGTGGGCAATTTGACTTGAATTGAAAGCAAGTAGTGGCGGTTGCGGTGGCCGGCTGGCACTCCCATGAGCCGGACAACGAGCTGTAATTGGACTTGGGGGAGATCGGGGGAACGAATGAATTTAGCGCCAACTCACCGTCGAAATACGCCGCTGCGCGCCCCACAAAAGACATACGAGTGACAGCAACGCCAAGCTATGGGGAAACGGTAACGGTTGAAGTTAACCACAAGCATGTAAACCTCCACCCAGAGCCAGGGACACGCACTGGCCCAAGATGAGACCCAAAAAGAGTTGCGCTCGACGCGGCGCGCTGCGAAAGAGATGGGCGATGTGTTTGGCGTTGGGGGACGGCGTTTCGTTGAACGTTTCTTGATTGTTCAACCGGATGGGAAGAAAAGGGCATTTGACAGCGCCAAGAAGAGTGGCCATGATGTTCATAGACAGATGCGTGAAATCTACCGTGAATGTCTGTTGCCCGCGTGATCTGATGATAAACTAGAACGTACAGATTACCCGGACTGGCTTGATCTCTTTCTGGGCGCGGATTATGTGCCAGATGCCTACCGTGGGTTGCCGGTTGCTGATGCACACTTGCCGTTCTCCAGCGATGGCGGATGTCTTCAACATGCTCGGGTGTCTTCCTCGGCCGGAGACCCCTGAGAAACCGGGCGAAAGACTCCTGAGCGTGGCAGGTGGCAGGTCCCCAACGATGTCAAGCCGCAAAAGCAGAGATTTCACCAAGTTCTTCTGATCAGGGCCATTGGCCTTAGCCACACCGCGATGGCGTCAATCACAAAGTAACATCCAGCTCCGGCCATGCTCAAAGTGTAAGGCAACGTCTTGGCCGTCTCAATGCGGGTTTCCTTTCCCAGGTCCGGTGCCAACAGGAGATCGAGGCCCTTGGCGAGGGAGGTGGAGTAGCGTTGGCCAGTCAGCCCCACATAGATAGCTGTTCGTTCCCGGCCCCAACCTGGGTGATGTTGTCGTCTCTGTCTGGTCCCTCCGTCGCTTCGAGCGCCAAGTGCGTCGCAGGTCCGGCAGCAGCGCGGAGAATGCCCCTGGCCTCCCGCAATTAGCAGCCGCAAGCCCTGCACATCTGGGTAACGGACCACGTTACCTCGATGAAAGCGGCCCGCGCCGCGAACGGCCCGTTCTCTCTCTTCCAACGGCTCGCCCCCAAAACACCAGGCCGCCAGGTCCGACTCCAGGATAGGGGGCATGGCAGGGAAAGAAAGGAAGAGGTGCCCAAGAATCTTGAGCCAAAATGGCATCAAGATTGGGTACTGACACTACATGTTTCAAATCTCAATGTGCCCCTTTCCAACCTGATCGATAAAGTGCGTGTGTGTGTGTCACACTCTGTATCTAAGAGTTTTCCTCGTTTTGTTCCAGCAGGGGGGCAGTGGACCACTATCACTCACTGCCCAACGAAGACAGTGATAGATCGGTCGTGAAGCAACGCGGGACGCCGCATTGTGTACCTGCTGAGTTTGTCCACAAGCTGTCACCCTACTTTTCCACGGTTTGATTCATGGTTCTT